TCTCTTTCTCTCTGAGCCCCTAACACAGGCACCTCCCTTTCTCCTCCACTGAATTATCCAGCCCCTGAAGGTGAACCAAGGCTTTCTTCTCTTCCCACTGACCCCCCTCCCCATTCCAACTCGGGAGCTCTGGCACCTGTTTTTCTCCCAAACTCTCATTCTTAGTTAATTGCCAAGCTTTCTCACAGAGGGCTCACTGCCAGCTCTAACCTCTTTCTCGGGTGTGTCCTCTTCTTAGTTAACAATGCGACCTTCGTCCAAGATGGCTTCACAGCCTCCCTTATCCTCTAGAACAGTGGTTCTCAACCTTGGCTGCACATTAGAATCACCTGGGAATCTTTTTAAAATTCTGATTTCTGGGAAATTCTGCTTCTTTGTTACTAATGTTGTGGCCCCACCCCATAACAAAGAAACAGAATTTCTGGAGGATGAGGCCCAGAAATCAGGATTTTAAAAAGATTCCCAAGTGATTCTAATGTGCAGCCAAGGTTGAGAACCACTGTTCTAGGACTTTCACCTGCAAGCTTCCCCACCCCTCCAGGCTCAACTTCTAGGTACTGTGTCTCCTCAGTGTCTTTCGTACAGGCTGGGATTTGGGTGAGATGAATAAGGCCGAGTTGGGACAGTGGACAATAGAATCCTGTCTTTATTTGAAATTTTGAGATTTTATCATTGACTAGAAGCCCAGTGCATAAATATATGCATGGGTGGGGTCCAGCTGGCCCATCCCAATCAGGGCCGATTGGGGGGCGGGGGAAGGGCCATGGAAAGTTGGCCAGCTGGCCCCACACCCCCTCCCCTCCTCACCTCACCCCCACCCCAGTCAACCTCCTGGTTGAGGGGACAATTTGCATATTAGGCTTTTATTACATAGGAGGACTTTTTTACATTAATTTTTAAAATTGTATGAAAATATAGCTTTTATTTAATACGGAGTTTTGAGGTTCCCTTGAATTTTACACCTGAGATGAATGCCTTGATCATTTCATCCTAGTCCTCCCCCTGTCCCACCCTGCTTTTTCAAACATTCCTCCCTTTCTGTTTCCTCTGTGGCAGCCCTCAGTCACCAGCCTCCATTCTCTGCTCTGATCCATCCTACAGCTGCACCCAGTATTTTCTTCTTTGAGTGGGAGTTGAGTTGTGCCCATCTCTCCTTCAAATGTCTTCAAAGCCTCCCTGCCTCCTATAGAGTCCAACCACCGCCTCCCCTTCCCCAGATCACTGGGCCCCGTGTCAGAGGCTCTGCTAACCTTTCCAGCTTCATTCCAAGCCAAACCCTTCAGTTCTATGCTGGTTTACTCAGCCTTCTCCAGAGAAGCCTGTTCCCCACCACACTGCCTCTGTGCTGCTCTTCCCGGAGTCCTTTCCATCCCCTCTCCACCTCTCCCCTCCCCTCTCCTCCCCTCCCATCTCTCTCCTCCCCTTTCCTCAGAAGATATACACTCTGACTTCTATTTACTTTACCTGTCATCCTGCCCCTGCCAGCCTCCCTGAAGGTGGCTGTGAGCACCTTGATTGCAGAGTCCATGCCTTCTTCCCCATGCCCAGGGCTGGATGACAGCACTGCTGGCTTACAATTTGGCGCCTCTTCAACCTCCAGCTGGAGCCTATACTTTGACAGATATCTTAGTCACCTCCTTCATGGCTTCTGTATGGATCTTTCTCCACAGATCTTTCCTCTACCTGATGGATATCCCAGTGATACCTCAGACTTGGTTTGAAAATGGAGCCTTGTTTTCCACTGGCTCCCTATCCCCTAGGATTGTATACTACAGACACCTATAACTAAGGGCTGCAAAAGTGACCTGCCCACAGTTGTTCACAGGCAGTTATTCCAGGATATCATGACAGCATCTATTTAACACCCTCTCTCACCCTCTGAGGTCCTCCACATGAAGCTGGGGTGGGGAGGGGCCGTAAGAACCTGTCCTCTGTTGTATGCAGATGCCCATGAGTGGGTTCAGCACTGAGGACAGCGTGGGGGCAGGTACAGGTGCCCTCACTTCTCAGCACCAATCCCACTCCAACCCTGTGCAGACTAGGGAAGAGGAGGGCGTTCTTAACGCTCACAAGCAGGGTCTTAAGATTTATTTTAAGATATAGCTCAGTTTCTATTACATCTGACTATCAAGGTGGGTTCATCTGCCTTTCAATGTGAGATAACAGCAAGCATCCTCCACCTCCTCCACCATGGTTCAAACCAGTACCTTCCAAGTTCATGGCTGTCTCCTAAAACCTGAGGGTATGCAGCTCTCTCCAACACTGAAGAGCTGAGGTAAATGAGGCAGTAGTATTCAGTTGCTAATACTCTGTTTTGGGGATCTCTGTCTATGTAGACACCCACAAATCTATAGGATGGGGCAAAAGTAGGTTTATAATTGTGAGTATGTGAAAGAGTTATTGTTTGTTATTATTTATTAATTATTGTATTATTTTCCATCCAAAAAGCTGTAAACCTATTTTTGCCTCACCCTATAAAGATAGTATAGTCTTTATGTTATCTTTTAAAGTTCATTTTCTGTGTCTTGATGCCTGAAGGTATGAGGTCTAATACTTGATAATGCCTCTTACGGCACACCAGTTCTTTAACACAGGCTACTTAATCATCATTTAACCTAATAACCCCAAATGGTAGGTGTATTCGTTTCTTAGGGATTCCATAACAAACTACCATAAACTGAGTGGTTTAAAAGAACAGGAATGTATTCTCTCATTGTTGTGGATGCTAGAAGTCCAAAATCAAGGTGTCAGCAGAATTGGTTCCTTCTGGAGGCTCTGAGGGAGAAGCTGCTCTATGCCTCTCTCCTCGCTTCTGCTGGTTGCCAGCAATCCTTGATATTCCTTGGTTTATAGACATATCACCCCAATCTCTGTCACCTTCACATGGCATTCTCCCTGTGATTTCTAACTATATCTCTGTCCAAATTTCCCTCTTGTTATGAGAACACCAGTTATTGGATAAGGGTACACCCTAATCCAGTATTACCTCATCTTAACTTAATTCATCTTTAAACACTCGATTTCTAAATAAGGTCACACTTAAGGTACCTGAAGTTATAACTTCAACATTTCTTTTTTGGGGGTCACAATTAACCCATAATAGTATCATTCCATTGTTCTCACCTTCATGTTAAATTGAGACTCAGAGAGGAACTTATACAAAGATATAGGATAGATGGCATAACTCAGTTTTTAATTTGCCTAGACATAATTATACCAATTATTGGATGCCTGCTTGTACTAGGCCTTCTACTAGGTGCTTCTTTTTCATTTCTAATCCTGCATATAGTTATTATCCCAAATTTTATAAGCAGAGATGCGTATTATTTAAGTAGCTTGCCCAGAGTTACATAGGTAGGAAGTAGCAGATCTGAGAATCAATCCAATAATTCTCACCCAATTCAACATACCAGAACATCTTTGGGATACCCCAACCCCCTCACTCCCTTTATACTCTCCCCTAATATAACTCCCTACCTGCAGCTGAGAGTTATGGCTATAAAGAGCAAGCTACTGGAATTTCCTAAGTGAACCGTGTAAAGGCATAACATTAATCACTGGAATCACAGCACCGCAACTCAATGCCTCACAGTGGGTGACAGTCTGATGAGAAAGACCAAATCTTCATCTTCTTTCTGACAGCCAAATAAAAGTTGCATGAAAAAACAGTGCAAGGAGTAAATGCCACTAAAGAGCAATATATGTCACAACTAAGTACTTCCCTACAGCGTGCTGCATGTGGGCTGAAGCCACTTTTCTGTTCAAACAGGCACCGTACTGGGAAGGAGCCTTTATGACCATGATGGGGAAGAACCTGTCTCAGCCAAATCCATAGAATGGTTATTTAAATTGATTCATTCTTGCTGAAAATAAAGAAATCAAAAGCATCACTTCCTAAGAGGTGCTGTGCACTCTTCCACAACATCAAAGTTGTGCCATACACACACTCATCAGTGCTTTACAGACACAACACCAGAACGCAGAGACCTTCAAGCAAAGCATGAATCACAGCAACGTCCTCAAATCAGTGCAAGGCAATGTGAGAAACCACTCAGCCCAATGCCACTCACTGAGATTGGAGCAAAACTTACAAGTTAAAGTTGTTTTTGCTCATATTACCTCAAAAGGATACCACAGAAGTAGGGAGTAGGAACACGGCTCTGGAGGCAGGCCAAGTAAAATGCCAATCCCACCTCTACCATGCACTACTCATAGGGCCCTAGTGCGTTATTTCTCTTTTCGAAGCCTCAGTTTCCTTATTGCAAAATGGAGATATTGACATGAACCTCATAGAGCTGTTATAAGGAATGTCAGCATTCCACTCTGATCCTTGATTCCTAACATAGAATATAAGCTCTGGGTAAGAATAAAATATTTTTTAGTTTTTTCTTTATCTTATCCCATGTGACAATATTTCTTTTTAAAAGAGACATGGCTTAAATAATAAATGGGAGCAGAGATCTGGCAGAAGTATCAGGATGGGAAAACAAGTGACAGGATGAGAAAACACCACATTGATAGGAGATACTAATTTCTTTCATGTGCTCAATATTATCAACTGAATAATACACACACACACACACACACAGAGGACTGGATGGAGTTAGGGAACAACTTGTACTACTTAATCCATTGTTATTAGCAATATTTTCCCACACCTTATTTATATCTTCACATATCTTATGCTCAATTTTATACCTATGAGACAACATCCTAAAGGGCAGGGATAAGGTTCTACTCACCCATGCATGCCTTGACTGAGTGTGTTGAACAGAGATGACAAAAACAGCTTTTGATTTGAGCCATCTGAAGGAGAGCCATCTAGAGGCAAATGATTCAAACAGCATCTACACAGGCAGTTAAGCAACTCAAACTCATTTTGAAATAGATGTAACTGCACAAGTAATGTGTACTCTCTATGCAAACCCTGAAATAAAGTTTGTAAGACTGATACAATACAAAATGGCATTTAAGCCAAAAATAAAGCCTGAGCAAAGAGATTTTTGGTTGTATTTTTAATCAGTGAAAGTACCAATCCATTTCACAAACAGCTTTGCAGGAAAAATGGAGCAATTCATCCTGTCAGTTAAAATTCATAAAAAATAAGCTCCAAAATTAGTTAAATACAACTATTCAAATACATTATTAATATAAAAAAATCTCTTAGAATAAACAGTAGCAGTATTTACTTGTAAACAAAACTGCCAGTAACAACCCTTCACTTAATGACAACAAATCTGCATTGTTTTAAAATACTAAAGATATAATAAAGAGAATAGTGACCATTTTTCTTCTTAATATATAATTCTCAATATCTAAAATAATGTTATCAATAATAGATACAAATTGGTGTTGTGATAAGGCGTGTTAAACAGTCTTTTTCACAGTACTCGGGCATCATGTCGCTGCAGAGGGCAAACTTTTCAAAAGTCTTCTCCTAGCTGTGATCCTTGCACACCGGGGGCACTCAGAGGACTGGAAGCACTGCTTGTGAAAGCAAGCTCTGCACTCTGCAAGCAAGAAGGACAGCCATAAGCAAAGGGGCTATTTTGTTTTCTCACATATGTACACTCATCCTCAGGAGAGAAAGGATCTGAGTCCAGAAACCAGATTCTTCTAAAAAGAAATCAGGCAGATTGAAACTTAGAGGGATTATAAAGTCTCCAACAGGTCATGCACATTGACCTCTGAGGGCCTGATGAGTGGATGCTGCCGTGCCCCCCAGGTCTGCCCAAGGGACATTCCCCCAGCTGCTGAGAGTATTGTTAGCCAATGGCTCAGGAGGTGGTGTCCCTTCCCTGGAAATGGCCCTAATGGGAGAGAGCTGCCTTGCTCAAGGTCATGTCCCCTTTTTAGCACCAGCCTGTTGGGTGATTGACTGGTCAATGTGGTTTTTAAAGACTTGGCTGGCCCCTTTTCCTCAATTTGAAACGATGCTGAAGGCCATTCGTGCTTCAGAGCTCCCTGTGAGATGTGCTGAGCTTCACTGCATCCACATCACAGCTCAGCTTCTCCCTCTACCCAATCCTGCTGTCTTCACCCCCATGGGTGTTGAGCCTAAGAATGTGCCACAGTGAACTTCCTGCATGCAAATCCCTGCCTCAGAGTTTCTCTGCAGAGAACACTGCCTAATGAGTCAGGGAAACAACACTTGAGTGGTCTAAGAGGAGGGCCTGCTCATATCAAGGGCGAAGGCAGATTTCTTACCACATCTCTCCCATGAAACAGTTTAGAGAACACAGTATTTCCTGGGGCACTAATAGAGTAGAACAAGGATCTGCAAACCTTTTCTGTAAACAGGTAGATAGTAAATGTTTTAGGTCCTATGGGCCAGATGGTCTCCATAACAACTTTTCAACTCTGCCATCGTAGTGCAAACGAAGCCAGAGGTAACACTTCAGTGTTTGGCATGACCACGATCCAACTAAAAAATGGATCCAACTACAAAATGTGGTGCTATAGCTTACCCTGGTATAGAAGAATTGGGCACAGGCGAAACTTCCTCTCTTCAAACCCTGTGCTAGGAGACATCACCCTTTATCCCTGCTGCACCCAAATACTCCTTCCTGTGCACCCCAAACTTTACTAGCTCCAATTCAACATATAGCACACACCAGCACCATTATAATTTAAAGAAATGTTATTTAGCTATTATTAAACTTAAGCTAATTTTAAAAAATATATGTTTTATTGATTTTAGAGAGGAAGGGAGAGGTAGAGAGAGATAGAAATATCAACAATGAGAGAGAATCACACTCCCTTGTGGGGATTGAGCCCACAACCCGGGCACATGCCCTTGAGCAGAATCAAACCTGGGATCCTTCAGTCGGAAGTCTGATGCTCTGTCCGCTGAGCCAAACCAGCCAGGGCAAGCTTAAGCTAATTTTGTGCTTGTGGATGAAAGGGGTCACAAGCTAACCTGACAAGCTCAGGGGAGGCCTGCATGGCAGTCTTATAGACTGCGAGACTACAAGTAACCACAAAAGATGGTCTGAAATTAAACTTTCACTAAAAGCAGTTATGGTGGGTAGTCACCTCCTAGACCTGTATCTTCATTAACAAGGTCAACATTTACCTTAACTGAGCCTATCTGTCTTTTTGCATCTATAATAACATACCCTTTAAAATGTCTAGGTAACTTGTAACTTCCCTTTTTCCGGACCCCTTGGGGCACAACTTAATGTGCTGGGTGCCAGGACAGATACCACAAATTCCTTATCATGTTAATTGTTCCTGCACCCACCTAAGTATGTGCCCATCATTTTACTTTTTATCCAATCCCAGGGGTTCCCCTCCCCCCACCCAGCTTTGCTTTCTCCAGCCTCTCTAGTCTGTCACCAATGGATTTCATGTAACCCATCTACGTCCCTTTCCTTTGATTGCAATGTATAAATGCAAATGTAACCCGCCAATCTCCGGAGCACTATCTCAATTCATTGAGGTTCTGCTTCCCGGCCTATGTCAAGAGTTTGGCTCAAATAAACTCACAAAAATTCTTTACAGGTTTCAATGGTTTTTACGTTAACATGCTTGTTATTAAACTAATGTTAACTCTGCACTTATTATGTTAATAAGCTTATGTTATTCATTTATTAAGATACCTGAACATCTTCTACACGTTGTGATCTGAAATGGGAAGATGACAGCTGTACTCCGGCAAAATTCACAAATGAAGCCCTTTCCTTGACACAGCTGTAAGAGTCAAAAAGTTAAAATCTTCATTGGTAATGTCTCTTTCGACGGAGAATCTTAGTCACTACTTTTACAGTATTTGATAAGGAGCCATTTTTAAATGTCTACAATTCCAGCCTCGGGAAGGAAAAAGATGTTATATTCTGCTGCAATGAGCGGATGAGAACAATAAGTATGCATTCATTTTGCATGGAGAAACATCACATTGAGTTGGATTAAGGCACCAGAGCAAGATCATGATTTTAAACACGGACTCTTAAATTATCTAATTTTGTTTCTGATAGCTGCACTGTAATTCTCCAGTCCCTATAGACAAAGAGCTCCTGCTCCACTGGATCCTGAGTTGACATTGCTGTATTTGGCACAGATGGGACAGATCGGAGTCCAGGCAGACCCCAAGCAGGGCTGGGAGCCCAGACGAAGAAGCCGCTTGGCCCAGGCTTGCATCCCAGCCCTTATACTTACTACAGGATTACTTAGACCAATGGTTCTCAACCTGTGGGTCATGACCCCTTTGGGGGTCTAACGACCCTTTCACAGGGGTCGCCTAAGAACATCGGAAAACACATATATAATTACATATTGTTTTTGTGACTAATCACTATGCTTTTATTATGTTCAATTTGTAACAATGAAAATACATCCTGCACATCAGATATTTACATTACGATTCATAACAGCAAAATTACAGTTATGAAGTAGCAACAAAAATAATTTTATGGTTGGGGGTCACCACAACATGAGGAACTGTATTAAAGGGTCGCAGCATTAGGAAGGTTGAGAACCACTGACCTAGACTCTTAACAGCTGTGAACCTCATTTTTCCCATCTGGAAAGGGTATTACCAGCACTTTCTTTGGGATTTGTAAAAGTTAAATGATATAAAGTGTAGAACACCTAGCACAGGCCCTGATGCACCAGAGACAGCTCAGGGACACACCTGGCCCCTGTGAACCTCACCTCACAGCCGGTCACGTGGGCAAGGGAAGCGTTCAGAATGTCCTTGAGTGAGGGCACCAGCAGCCCTTTCTTGACCCTGACCAGGTCCTCCAGGGAGAACAGGTAGAGCTCATCGGTTAAATGTCTGGGCACCTGCTCAAACTCTTTCAATGCACTGCCAGAGAGAAAACAAAGAGGATTCAAGAACCCACCCACACAGGCTGGGGGAGAAGAGGGAAAAGGGTGAGCAAGTAATTGTATTCTCCTGGCATTCACAATTACTTTTTAACTCAATTTTTTAAAAGAGCCCCAAGAACAAGTTAACCTTACTCATTCAACACATTAGATTTTGCAAGTTCACTTGGAAGCTAAGGTAAAATCCCATATTGATTTCAAAAAAACTGAACCAGCAGAGAAATGTGCTTCTTGCAGACTGACCAAGCAAAAGAAAATTGAATGTTATTTCAAGTCTTAAAACTGTGTCCTGGGATAAAACTCACTATCTTACTGATTCCAGCTCAATTTCAAGTCTGTCACTGACAGTTGCCCCAGATGGCAGAAAAATAACTGCTCAGGCATATAACTCCCAAATCCTTGAGTTCAAAACTGAGCTGAAGACTATCCATCTGTGAGCTGGTCACAGGCACTTGGATGCACTAAGGGCATTCCAAACTGAACAAAACCTTCTCCAAACCCTCTGGGCCTCCTAAATTCCCTAAATCAGTGATGAGAAGCATCACCACACACTGCATTCCCAAGGCAGCCACTGCATACCCTGGACCTGAAGCCAAACCATATTTAATTCTCCATCCAATCTGGGGACTCCCTCAGCCTGCTTCCACTTCCAGCTCAGGCTTTATCTCTGGAAGCCTTGTCTGCTCCCTTCCCTTACAAACAAAATGCTCCTCTGCATTCTCAGGGCTCTGTACATATGTGCCTAAGACACAATCCAGCAATGGACTATTGTGCCGATTACCTCCCTGGACTTAACATGAGTCCTGTTGATTTGTTCATCTGAAGCACAGAATGGATATTCAAGAAATTGTTGTAGATGGTAAGAATTGTGGGTATTGTTACATGCTACATACAAGAAAACTGAGGGTCTGAGGCATAATTAACCTGTCACAGCAATGCCATGAGGTAAGACTCAAACCTAAATGACTACTAAAGACATGCTCTTCCCCAAGAAATTTAATTCAAAAGCAATACATCATCATTAAGTAAAGATTAAACACTGAAAGAAGCAAGAGAAAAACTAAGATGGCAGCATAGGTAAACACCGGAGATTGCTGCCTCGCACAACCACTTCAAGAATAGAACTAAAAGATGGAACGGACATCATCCAAAACCACAGGAAGGCTGGCTGAGTGGAAATTCTACAACTAGCAGGAAAGAGAAAAGCATACCGAGACTCAGAGGAGGTGTGGTGCGGAAGTACAGAGGTAAGGTATGGAGGCACATGCCAGCCTCACACAGGAGAAACTGGACTGTTTGGCATCGGTTGGAACTCGAGGGCAGCTTTCTCTCAGAGGTGCTTGCAGCGATTGCCGGGACACTGAGAAGTGGGACCTCTGAGGGCAGCCATAGCTGCTTTCTCTGCCCTGTTGATCCCCTGGGACCCCACCCCACCCAAGCCGAAAGCCACACATGGAGGCTTTTGCATATGAAAGGCCTGGCCCTTTGCAATTTGAAAATTACCTAAAAAATTGCAGCTGGCCCAAGGCCCCAGACAACTTGCATTGCTTCACACCTGGTTCCTGCTGGATAGCCTCAGGCAAAGGCTAGATTAGCATCTCCTTAGAGATCCAGGAGCCAGTGTGCCCAGTGGTCAGAGTGGGACCATCTAGATTGCAGCTCCTCGGATCCATAAAGGACAGATTCAGGGGTCACACTCAGTGAGCACCAAGTC